TCTCAAGTACAAGCCTCAACAACATCGACGGGACAACCTGCGCAAGGAACAAAAAACATCGTCAGTTGCATGATACGACTGACCGACTCCTGCATCACAGAGTCACCACCACATTACTCACCGGAAGAGCAACTCGACAACAGCACGTCTCGCCGCGAGTCACTTCAACCAAATCCGACGTACGCAGCCATCGCTCAAAGCGAGCCGTCTGGGAAAGATACGTGGTTCTTAGACAGTTGCTGCGGACAACATATGTGCTCTTCAGGACGCTTTGTTCAACGTGAACACCAACTTCAACGCGAGGTCGTCATCACCGTCGCCAACAATCAGAACCTGCGCACACGATGACAAGGCGTAGTGCAACTTCAGTCACGAGAAACAAACGTCATACTGCAGATGTCAAAGGTTTTAATAGCAGAAGGACTCGGTTACAACCTACTGAGCGTCAGTCAACTGATGGCGAAGGGCATCCACCTCGAAGCAAATAGTACCACTCAGGAGTTCAAGTTATACCACGGGAAAGGCGGTCTCTACATCGGGAAGGCGGTCCTGAAAAACAACGTCTTCGTCCTCGGCTTCGTCCCAGATCTTGGCAGTGCTGACAGCAACGGGATTGTCACTTTCACCTCTTGGACACATCCACCGGATCTTGACCCCGACTTCAGTCCAGAAGGCTTCTGGTACTCGCACACCATCCCTGAGGCAGAACGAACAAGAGCATTAGCAACAATTCAACACTCGGCAGCAGCAGAGACAACATCGGCAGCAGCAGAGACAACATCGGCAGCAGCAGAGACAACAACGGCAGCAGCAGCAGCAACATCGATACCAATCGCTGGTCCTTCAACTGCATCGGCTCAAATCGACGACACTTCACCGACTCCTGTGCAACAGCTTAACCCAACACCACGAGAAGTACATCGAAGTGCAAACTTCACCGCAAGCTTCTACTCCAACTCCGACTTGTATCGTCGCTCACCCGGACATCGCGCTAGCGAAGACATCTGGCACGCACGAATGGGACATCCAAGCAACACGATGTTAAACAACACAATCAGAGCAGGAGTACTCGACAAAGATTCCTGCTCCTAACCGATGGAAGCGAACTTCGACGAGCTCGTGGAACGTGCTTTACCTGCCCCGAAGCAGACTTACCGCATCGACCATTCGCTTCTCACCACAACCCTAGCGCACCAGCTTACGCACCACTTGAGAAAGTGTACAACGACATCCTGTACAATCGCGAGCCTGGACAAGGAGCATACAGCTACACCATCACGTTCATTGATGCCGCTACGCGTTACGTTTGGCACCTCAACCTTCCGAGCAAGGACATGGCTTTCGAAGCCTTCATCGCTTGGCTCCCAGTAGCAGAACGAGAATCAGGCGTGAAACTAAAAAGCTTCCAGTCAGACGGAGGAGGAGAATACACCTCACAGAGGTTCAAGCAGTTCTTGGCAGAAAGAGGAATCAAGAGGCTCATCTCGCTTCCCTACGCCCATCAACAGCAAGGCGTGGCGGAACGGATGAATCGAACTCTCCAGAACACCATGCGCAAATTACTGCGTGGCATGCGACTACCCAATCACCAGTGGCCTGAAGCGATGGACCACGCTGTCATGCTGCACAACTTGCTTTCGTCGTCGTCACTACCGAACAACGCATCACCGCACCTGCTGTGGACAGGAAAACAGGGCAGCACAAAAATGTTAAGAGTTTTCGGCTGCATGGTACAGTACCGACCCCCATCTGCATGAGCCGGCCGATTTTCCCAACGCGCACAGTGGGGACTATACCTGGGCATCGAAAGAAATTACAACGCATGGAATATTTTCGACGTCCACTCCAAAGAAACAGTAGCAGCACGTGATGTCATTTTCTACGAACGAGTCACCCTTCCGACGTATCTTGCCAACCTGGAAGAAGATCGGGATCCCACAGGTGGCTTCCGTGGTGACCGACACTTCGCCTCGGCAGCAGACGAAGCTGACTGGGACGAGCAGAACGTGGATAACGCCTCGGAAGAAGCAGGACCACTCCCATACTGCTCCGTGCCTATCCCGATGGACGACGAAAATCCTCGCGAAAGCGTCAACGCCGAAACTTATTTTGACTTCGCCGACACCGGTTACGTTACACCTGCAGAAGTCAACACCAATGAAGCAGAACGCATAGGGCCCAACTTCATTCCTGACCCAGAAACCGGTGACGAAGCAGCTTATCCCGCGGACACAACTCTCCCCCGCTACACACAGAGTGGCCTCCAGATACTCGGCCTAGTCACCGCGGTCCACGGCACGGAAACTCCTAAGGAGCCTGCCACAGTTCAGCAGGCTCTGGGGGGGGAGCACAGGAAAAAATGGCGTGAAGCCATGGACAAGGAACTGAAAGCACTGAAGGAGCGCAACACCTGGAAAGTTGTCCCTATCGGCGTGGCACGAAACAAGACAATACTCACAGGGAAGTGGGTCTTCCGTGTGAAAACGAAAGCAGACGGCACCATTGACAAGTTCAAGGCACGCTGGGTCATACGCGGCTTCGACCAAGAGCATGGACGTGACTTCACCGAGACATTCGCTCCGGTCAGCCGACACACTTCACTACGAATTCTTCTCGCGATCGCTGCCATAAAGAAAAAGAAACTGCGTCAAATTGATGTCGCCAACGCTTTTCTCTACGCACCTGTCGACGCAGAAATCTTCGTCGAACTCCCACACGGCTCCCACGGAGAACCTAATCACGTCTGTCAACTGTTGAAGTCATTGTACAGTATCAAACAGGCCCGGAGACTATGGCAGCAGTACCTACACGCTCGACTTACTCGCATCGGATTCCGGCAGCTACCGCACGACCAAGGCATGTACCGGCTCACGAAAGGCGACGACTATATTCTACTAATCGTCTACGTAGACGATCTACTCTACATCGGGTCGACCGACAACGTCACTACCTGGTTCGAAGGGGAGTTACAGAAAGACCTCACGCTCACAGTCTCATCTACACTGAGCAGACCGGAGGTCTTACAGAGCGTCGTGAGCCTGTGTCTCGTTCTGCCTCGCCTGTTCGCGCTGTTCGCACTGGTCGTCGTCCTCCTCCTGTCCCCGGCACGAACCATATGGCACTTCGTCCTTCCTCTGTTCCACAGTGTGTCTCACTGTCGTCTACTCCTGCTTCCTCTCTTGCTGACGGTCTAGACCCTGAGTCTGACTTAGTTCGTGCTGCCAGTCCTACTGTCCCTCTTCTTCTAGCCACTGTTGTCACTGAACCTTCGTTTGAGTCTGCTTCTGCGTCTGCCCTCATTGCTGAGCTTGTTGACTTTGCTGCCGCATGTCGTCTCGACTACGCCGCTAGTCTTGTTGCCGAGTCTGAGTCTGACTGTCCTCCGTCCGTCGGGGGTGAGTGTGCCCTTGGCACGGACGTCCTTGAGGACAGGCAGGAGGACTTTGAGTGTTTTGCAGCTGTTGTACCTCATCTCGTGTCCATGCTGGTTGCACCTGAGGGAGACCCGGATGCACCAGACATCCCGACCCCGCGCTCTTACGCAGAGGCGATTATGGGTCCCTATGCCTCTCAGAGGCAGACAGCCATGGACGCAGAGATGGCATCCTGGAAGTCCACAGGCACTTACGTTGACGCAGTTCCCCCTCCTGGGGCGAACATAGTCGATGGCATGTGGATTTCCAGGGTGAAGCGGCCGCCGGGTTCTCCGCCTGTCTTCAAGGCCCGTTACGTTGCACGAGGCTTCAGTCAGCGACAGGGAGTTGACTTCTTCCAGACCTTCTCCCCTACCCGGAAGATGACTACTCTTCGGGTACTGCTGCACGTCGCCGTTCAGCGTGACTACGAGCTTCACTCTCTTAACTTCATCACAACTTTCTTACAGGGCAGCCTGTACGAGGAGATCTGGGTGCGACGCCCACTTGGCTTCACTGGGTCGTTTCCTGCAGGTACCCAGTGGAGCCTTCGGCGGCCAGTCTACGGTCTCCGCCAGGCGCCTCGCGAGTGGCACGACACACTGAGGATGACGCTTGCGGCTCTTGGGTTTGCTCCTTCTACTACTGACCCGTCGCTGTTTCTATGCACCGACACTTCGATGCTGCCGCTCTACGTCCTCATGTACGTCGGCGACTTGGTCTTTGCCACTGCTGACACTGAGGCACTGGCCCTTGTGAAGTCGGAGCTGTAGAAGAGACACACATGCACTGACCTGGGTGAGCTGCGCAGCTATCTTGGCTTGCAGATCACCCGGGACAGAGCACAGCGCACCATCACCCTGACTCAATCACACATGGTGCACCAGGTCCTTCAGCGCTTCGGCTTCCGGTTCTCCTCGCCATAGTCCACTCCTCTACCTACCGGTCACTCGCTCTCAGCTCCACCTTCGGACGAGTCCGTAGAGCCGAGTGGCCCGTGTCTAGAGCTTGTGGGCTGCCTCATGTACCTGATGACCTGCACTCGACCTGACCTTCCTACCCTCTTAGCATCCTGGCACGCTACGTTGCGCCCGGGAGGCACCGACCAGAGCACTGGGAGGCCGCTAAGAGGGTGTTGCGCTACTTGTGTAGTACGTCGGGCATGGGGCTCGTGCTTGGAGGACGGGGTCCACTTGTCCTCACTGGACACGCAGACGCTTCTTGGGTTGACGACTTGGCTACGCAGCGGTCGTCACAGGGTTACAATTTCAGCCTTGGCTCCGGCTCTGTTTCTTGGCGGTCTACCCGTTCGTCTTCTGTTATCAGTTCCAGTTGTGAGGCTGAGATCTACGCAGGGGCCATGGCTGCATAGGAGTTATGCCTGCTCACCTACCTGCTGACCGACTTGGGAGAGCGGCCTCGTTCTTCTCCAGTTCTGTACGTAGACAACAAATCGGGTTTTACGGATAAGTTCAGGCAAGTGGGGAAGCGGAACCAGATGCATATCAACGCGTTTCGGAGGGACAAGGGCTGGGGCAGGGATGGCGCTGAATTGATAGTAGGTGGGTTGAATGAAAGCGGAACCAGATGCATATCAACGCGTTTCGGAGGGACAAGGGCTGGGGCAGGGATGGCGCTGAATTGATAGTAGGTGGGTTGAATGACTCTATAACGGTGCAGTCCGGTTTTAAGGTTGGTGGAGGGGGTGGGGGAGAGGGCGGAAACACGAGGTGCGGAGGTTTGGGTTCCGTTGAAGCGGGTAGCATGGCTGTTGCTGGGGGCAGCGTTAGTGGCAGCAGGGGAGGCAGGGCTTGTGCTAGTAGCGAGAGTGACTGTAACGAGCGGGTGTTTGATGCGAACACTGCAGCAGTGGCAGGGGAAGGCAGGGCTGACAAGGGTGGGGAGCAGCAGGCTGGTGAGGGGGACGCTGGGGGGAGCGCTGGGGAGAGCGCTGGGGAGAGCGCTGGGGGGAGCGCTGGGGGGAGCGCTGGGGAGAGCGCTGGGGAGAGCGCTGGGGGGGAGCGCTAGGGAGAGCGCTGGGGAGAGCGCTGGGGGGAGCGCTAGGGAGAGCGCTGGGGAGAGCGCTGGGGGGAGCGCTGGGGAGAGCGCTGGGGAGAGCGCTGGGGGGAGCGCTGGGGAGAGCGCTGGGGAGAGCGCTGGGGAGAGCGCTGGGGGGAGCGCTAGGGAGAGCGCTGGGGAGAGCGCTGGGGGGAGCGCTAGGGAGAGCGCTGGGGAGAGCGCTGGGGGGAGCGCTAGGGAGAGCGCTGGGGAGAGCGCTGGGGGGAGCGCTGGGGAGAGCGCTGGGGGAGGCGCTGGGGGAGGCGGTGATGGTGATGGGTCTCAGGAAGGGCATGCTGAGCCCTTGGCATCACTCTCGTTCCGAACAGCAGCGGATTCTCTCCCCTGCACTGAAGCAACTGCTTCCCTGGCTTGCACTGACGCAATCACGTCCCTCCCCCGCACGGAAGCATCTGCAGAATCCTTTTCTGGGAGCTTGCTGGCGTCAGCAACTCTCCCCTCGGCCTTGCTGTCAGTGCTGGCCAATAGGGGAGAAGCAAGCTTGGGGAAATGTGAGGCCGCCCCGGGCGCTTCAGCGGATGCTTCAGCGGATGCTTCAGCCTCTCTTGCTTCAGCCTCTCTTGCTTCAGCCTCTCTTGCTTCAGCCTCTCTTGATGCTTCAGCGACTCCTGCAACGACTGGAGATTCGGCTGAAAGGGAGTTGAGGGATGAGTGTGGCGTGGCAGGACAGCAGAAGCTGCCTCCCACTGGCGGGGGGTACAGTGGCGGGGCAGAATCTGCAGCAGCAGCCGCGCCAGTGGGGGCAATGGAGGCTACAGTGGCACCAGTGGAGGCTTCAGCAGTTGCAGCAGCCACAGCAGCCACACCAGTAGCTACAGCTGCCGCAACAGCAATAGCAGCAACAATCGCAGCTGAATTGGTGACAACAGTCGATTCCCCCCAGCTGCATCCTGCTGCTGAGTCAGCTCCAGCTTATACACGCGCTTTTGAGTCACCGCCAGGTCAGCAGCCCCGTCGTCTGTCTGTCCCCTGCCGCCCGGCCTCGGCCGCCAGGTGGCGTGCCACGTGTGGCCTGCCGTCTCGTGCGGCCATCGAGAGAGATGCTGAGCTGGCTGCCAGGCTGGCAGAGATCCGAGCTGGATACGCTGGGCGGTGGGTGGGAGAGGATAAGATCGGGCGGGAGGGCTCGGGGGTTCATACAAGCAGTAGCCACAGCTTAGGGAGCAGCAATTGTGACAGTAGCGCGAGTGATTATAGGGGAAGGGAGGGGTACGGGTCACAACAAGGGGTGTCACAGCACTCACCAGAGCACAAAGCACAGCACTCACCACCACCACAGTACCTGCCACAGCACACACAGCAACACTCACCAGTGCACAAAGCACAGCACTCACCACCACCACAGCTGCACTTGTTACAGCACACACAGCAACACTCACCAGTGCATGGAACACACTCTCTGGAGGACACTAGGCCTATGCAAGACCGAGTGCAGACTTCTGAGACGTCTCAAAAGGCTAACTGTGAGGATGGGATACTGAGTCAGGTACACAGTCAGCTGGAGAGTCGGGCAGGGGAAGAGGAAGGGGATGGAGGGATGGTGGAGGAGAGAGTGGGATTGGGGGAGGGCTGGGGAGAGGGAGAGGGAGAAGTGTTGGTGGAGGAAGTGCCGTTAACTTTGGAGAGAATTGAAGCAGCTTTTAGTCGATTCAGTAGCGTTGTTGATTTGTGTGAGCGAGGAGGGGGAGAAGGAGGGGTAGAAAGGGGCGAAGGAGACGGGGAAGGAGTGAGAGGAGAGGAGGAAGGGGTGGGAGGGGAAGGGGAAGGGGTGAGTGGAGAAGGGGAAGGAGTGGGTGGAGAAAATGAAGGAGAGAGAGAAGGAAAAGAGGGTGGAGAAGGAGAGGAGAAAGGAGTGAGAAGAGAGGGAAGGGAGGCAGGGGATGGGGAGCAAGAGGAAGGGGGGAAGGGAGGGGAAGGAGGAGAAAGAGCACAGGGAGGGGAGGAGGTGGCGAGGGTAGTGGGCAGGATAGAGGAGGCATTTGACCGACTCAGCAGCCATGTTGACGAGCTGGCAGCACTCAAGGCACAACAGGTTGCTGCTGCTGCCAGTGCTGCTGCTGCTGTCAGTGTTAGTGCTGCTGCTGCTGGCATTGTTACTGCTACTGCATCTGCTCCTGCTGCCAGTCCTTGTGGTGCTGCTACTGTGCGGAATGTAGCTGCTGCTACTGTGGGGAACGCGGCTGTCCCTGCTGCTAATGCTGGCAATCCAGTGAAGAGGGTGTATAGTATCCGAGTGAAACCGGCCCACATGCATGCTGCTGTGAGGGCAGCCGTGCAGGCAGTGCAGGCTGTGCCATGGGGGCAGGTGGGGCAAAGGGAACGGGGGCAAGGGGTGCACGGGCGAGGCATCTCAACTGCAGAAGCAGCAGAAGGAAGTGCAGCAGAAAGTGCTTCCTGGAAGGGGTTAGTGCCGGATCAGCTGCCAATCACCACCGTTGGTGCTGAAACTGCTGTGCGTGATTCGAATGCACCTGCTGCATTCAACGGCCCAGATGCCCCGGCTGTGTTTCCGGATCCAGATTCCCCTCCTCATAGGGTAACAGGTGATGGCTACGTGGAATCTGCCCCTGTACCGTTCTCAACCGTTGTATTTCCTGCAGAATCATCACTCTGCTCCGATGAGGATATTCTGGCAGCAGCAGCAATGGTCGAGGCAGCCATAGGGAGTTTCGCCGCAGACTCCAGGGTAATTTACCCTCGCAAAAAAGGGGAAAGGGGAGGAGCAGGGGGAGGCGAAGGGGGAGGGGGAGGAGCAGGGGGAACGGGAAGTGGGGTGATGCGAGCGCCGGCAAAAGTGGTGGCAGAGGGAGGGGTGGGACCAGGGATGATTGTGAGGAGGAAGGCAGGTCAAGCCGCTCGCATGTGGGCTGTTCCCACAATGGATTTGGAATCCGCTCTAGAGGCAGCTATGGGGGCTGCTGATAGGGTGGAGCAGGGGGGTGTTTGTGAGTCAGAAGCATGCAGGGCAACACAGGACAGCAACGGGATGGGCCAGAGGAGAGGAGAAAGGAGGGAGCAGGTCGTGACTATGAGTCTGGATTCGACCTCAGAGGCGGGTGCGGGGGTGGCTGATACTGATAGGGTAGAGCAGGGGGGTTGTGACATGATGGGTCAGATGAGGGGAGAGAGGGAGCAGGTCCTGACTATGAGTCTGGATTCGGCCCGTCGCAAGTGGGGTGTTCCGAGCATGGACTTGGAATCGACTCTTGAGGTGGCTGTGGGGTTGGCTGATAGGGTGGAGAAGAGGGCGGGTGTTGACACGAACCAGGGGCATGCTGTAACGCGTATGGATGTGGACAGGAGTCAGATGGAGCATGACTATGCTGCTTTAGGTGGGGTTGCGTGTGGAGGAAAGGGAGAGGGAGTGGGAGTGGGAGTGGGAGTGGGAGTGAAGGGAGAGGGAGTGGGAGTAAGAGTGGGAGTGGGAGAGGGAGAGGGAGAGGGAGAGAGTGCTGGAAGGGTGGGGTCTTTTGCATTTGATGTTGGGGTGGGAGCAAGGCGTGATTCAGGTGACAGCATTTCCGCTTCTCTTACGCCGTCTGGGTGGATGTTTTCACCTGCGGCTTATGACGCTCTTGAGGATGCTCTTAGCGAGTACGACGAAAGGAGTGTGAGCATTGGCAGCAGAATCAGCAGCTCTAAGGGGGGAGGGGGGTCGGCTTTTCCGATCTCGTGCCTGGGAGGGGGGTTTGGGAGAAAGCGGAAGGGGAAGAGGAAGGGAAAGGGGGCGTGGAAGGGGATTGGGAAGAGGAGGGAGGGGAGGAACGTGAGGGGGGTACGGTCAAGGAGGAGGAGAATGAATGGAACGAAGGAGAGGAGGACGAGGAGGAGGAGGGGGAGGAGGAGGAGGACGAAGAGGGGGGAGAGGAAGATGAGGATTCAGATTGGGATCAGGAGGAAGACGATGCAAGCTCGGAAGGCAACAGTATGTTCATGCTTCCAGTGCCGATTCTCGACCTATCTGATGGCTTCTCACTCTCCTTTCCTCTTGAAGCCTTTGCCAGCTCTCGGATAAACACCGGCTCTCAGTTGAACGCTGGCTCTCAGTTAAATACTGGCGCTCAGCTAAGCAACAGCAGGGACAGCGGGATATTCCGGACTGAAGAGGACGAGTCGTTTGACGGGTCCTTTCGAAGCCTTTTGGACAGCAGCAGGAGTGATTGTAATGGTGGTAACCAGTTGGCGAGCAGCCCTGGCGAAGGTGGTAACCACGTTGCAACACCAGGTGGTAACAGTAACCCCTTGTCAGATGGCCATGGTCCTTCTCCTGCCCCTTTGCCTGCCCGTCTGAAGCACGGTTCTGCCCCTCAGGGCCGCTCAGGTAGCCAGAACCCTTTGGGACAGTGCCTTGGTTTCAGGGGAGAGGGAAAGAGGAGCGAAACTGGTGCAACTGCTGCTGCTGCTAGTGTTGCTGCTGCTGGTGCTGCGGGTGCTGCTGCTGCATTTGCTGGCGCTGGCAGCACCGCTTCTCACTCCACTGCATCTAGTTCTACCAGTGCTAGCAGTGCTGCGCCTGCCCCATCCAGCCCCTCGTGTCCCAGCCCCCCAGGCTATCGGTTCCCGAGTCGACTAAAAAAGGCGGCCTTTCCAGCCCTTCATGTCTCAGCCCCAGGTTATCGGTTTCGGAGTCGGCTCACAAGAGTGGCCCCTCAAGCTCCTCTTGTCTCAGGCCAAGGTTCGCAGCAGTGCTCAAGTCCCTCAGCAGACCCGCCGGGACGTCTAAGGCTGGCAATAGCCCGGAGCGGCAGGATAAAGTGGATGCAGCAACAAGGCGGCTGCTGCAGCTGCAGGAGCATCTGAGGTGGCTGAGCAGGCAGGGGCTTATTGCGGGGGATGGGGAGGAGGAGGCTGGTGGGGGAGTGAGAGAGGGAGTGAGAGAGAAGGGCGCTTTGGAGAGTCAGGGGGTACAGGGGGTATGTCAGGGGGTGTGCCGGGGGGTAAACGAGGGGGACCCTGTGGGTGAGGGAGACAGGGATATTGCTGCTGAGAGCCAGGGGGTAGGGCAGGGGATAGACCAGGGGGTAGGGCAGGGGGTAGGGCAGGGGCTAGGGCAGGGGGTAGGGCAGGGGGTAGGGCAGGGAGCACAGCAAGAGTTTAGCCCAGGGGGTGATTTGCACGGCAAGGGAATCAGCCAGGGGGTTGCTCCTGAGACAAACGAGTTGGCCTTTGAGTCCACTCAAGAGCCAGGGGGTGTCTTGAACGTCAATGGTGTGAGCCAGGGGGGCGTTCCTGAGGAAACACCTGAGGGCCATGGCTGGGACGTGGAGAGGCAGGGAGACAGTGGCAGTTTGGGTGTGAGGAGCAGCGGTGGTGGCAGCAGCAGGAGTGAGGGTTCTTGTGCGCGTGGGGATGCTGCTGTGATGGAGGGAAACGCTTTGGATGGGAGCATTAATCTCGTCGCTGCTGCTTCAGCTGCTATTGGTTCGGCTGCTGCTGGTTCGGCTACTTCTGCTGCTGCTTGTGGTGCTGCTGAAGCACCTGCTCCTGCTGGTGATTCTACCGTTGTGCAGGCTAGCAACGGGGATAGTAGTGCCAGTGAGATTTCAGGCAGCATGAGTGCAGAAGGGGCTGAGGGTGCAGCTAGTGGGTGTGAGTCTGAGAGCAGTTATGGCACTGCCAGGTGTGATAGTGTTGCCGGGTGGAGTAGTGCCAGCTCTGCTGCTGCTGCTCCTTCTACCTTTCCTGCTGCTGCAGCAGCTGTTGGCACCTCTGTGGGTGCCACTGCGGAGTGTGATAGCGTTTCAGCCGCCCTTCCAAGGAGCGTCAGCGCCGGCAGTGCTGCTTGCAACAACCCCAGTTTCGGCAGTCTCACGACCATCGACAGCATCAGCAGCATCAGCAGTGTTTCGAGCAGCACAAACAGCATTAATAGCAACAGCATGAGAAGCAACACCAGGCCCCGAGTCCCTCCCCTCTCCTCCACACTCTTGGATTACCACCCTCCTACAGGCCGCCGACTGCCTACGTCACACTCGTACTCCTCACCCTCTGTACACTCACACTCGCGTACCAGCCCTTACTCGTCACCCCCCATACAAGCACACTCACATGCTACGTCCCCGTGTTTGCCATCCCCCGTACAAGCACACTCGTTTGCCGAAGTCTCGTCCCTTTTGCAGCGCTCTCCAGGGCATGCTAGTGCGAGTGGGAAGGATGGTGGGAAGGGGGGGTCGATAGCTAGAGTGCCGAAGAGCAAAATTCTTTCGCTTTTGAAGGGAGGGAAGACGCAGGAAGGGAATGGACAGGGCCGTGGTGAAAATGGGAAGGGGCATGAGGAGAGGGAGAAGGGACTGGAGGAGAGAGGGAAGGGACAGGAGGAGAGACGGTTAGAGCAGGAGGTTAAGCCAGATGGGCTGCGTCCATGGAGAAAAAAAAGGCAGTAAGAACAAGTCTGAGGATAGGAATGCCTTATAGTTTGTTGTTCATACGGTATCTAGCTAGCTTTTGTCCATGTTCACTATTGCGAGTATCAATATGTATAGGTTAAGCAAGTGAAGGCTCTCAGTAGTACCATGTGTGATGTGTTGCCGCCTGTGTTCTGGAAGCAATAACATGGGTTTACCTGGTGAACAAACTGGTACTTCGTATGGATTGGGATGGGATGTTCCGCTGCTTATGGAAAATATAATGTTGACGTCGTATTATCAAATGGTATAAGAGGCGGGACTTCAGTTTTGTAATGGAGTCTGGATTTTTTTTCTTTAATTTGTTTCCCAAGTACCCTTTCTAAGAGGGGGTAAATGATCCTCCAGATAGGGTGTGTGGAGTGGGAAAACACAGGAGGACTGGCGTCTTGTTGGTCACATGTGCACTGTTGACGTACACGTTGTGGAGCAAGCATTGTGGCTGTAGCTACAACCACAGCCATGCAGTTCTCAAAACGTGTGGTATGATAACGTTTTGGAGTTTAGGAGGAATCAGGAATCGGGCGGGATTCGGGACTGGCCAAGGGAATTGGCCGTGTTCCACCAGCAGCCAATCAAATTCCTCCTCGCTCCCCTGAACCCTCTCCCCCTGCGGCTTGGGTGAGCCATTCTGGGAGCACTTGACGGGCTTCACGACAGCATCCAGCTCATTCACGACAAACGGCGAAATAAAGGAATATGATGTAACGAGCGTTCGCATGTTCAGGAATCTGTATTCCTTATGGCTGTGCGAGCCAGCGAAATCCATTGACCAACCCAAGGCGAGGTGCATTCATCTTGCGTGCAGCGCATTCGTGAAACTGCTACTGTACCGCAACGCGTAAATCCCAAGACAAATCAGCATGGTTGATTCACGAATCCCGACCGTCGACCACCATTGATTCCTCCATGCTCAAATCTCCATGGTTGATTTACCACCACCACCACGACGACGCCACCATGGCCCGTTTGACATCCCTTCAGGGCCCGGGTGTCAGAATCGGGGGCAGGGGCGTGGGTCTCCGCCGTCCCTTCGCACGAAGAGGCTACCTTCACCGCAGCCGAGTGGAGCATCTGTGCGTCCATGCGCCTAGGCCTCCCCATACAGCAGCTGATAGTCGCCGGCAAGTGCGCGTGTGGGTTTGAGTTTGCTGATCCCTCTGACCCGCATCATGCCCTTCGCTGCAAGTACCAGTACGCACCTTCTCGTGTTCACGACGCGGTTAAGTTTGTGGTGGCGAAGATAGCTAAAGGGGCGGGTGGGGTCGTGACCATGGAAGACGACACGTTGCTGCCAGGGAAGAGGGTGGATGTGGCGGTGCGGAGACTAGAGGGAGGGGGAGGAGCATGCGCTGGAGGTTAGTGTGGTGGACCCTATCTCGTTGTCCGCGCAGCACCATGGACAGATTGGTCGCAAGGTGGGTTTTGCCGCTAGAGAGAGGGAAAAGCGGAAGGCGGCGGACTACAAATTGCTTCTGCAGCGACATAGGGGAGTGCAGTTTACACCTCTCATTGCTGAGACATGGGGTTGCCTGGGGGGGAGTTTTGGGCGGTGGCTTAAGAAACAGGGCGACGCGCAGATTGAGGTAGCGAAGACGAAAGGGGCGGCGAGAGCTACGGGGAAAGGTTTCTCGGCTTACTTGCTTGGATCACTTAAAGCGGCCATAGGTGTGGCTTTGCAGCGGGCTCAGGCGCGTGTGATCTTGTTGCGCGCGGCGTCGATGATGAGAGGCCCAGAGGCTGTTTCGGTGGAGCGGGAGGATTTTGAGGAGGAGATGGGATGGGATGCTCCGTGGGCGGATGCGCCCTATTTGGTGGACATGCGGGTTTAGAGGGTGGGTTTAGGTGAGGGGGGTGGGGGGTTTGGTTAGATGGGGCGTATTGTTGGGGTGTCTCGTTGGGGTGTCTCGTTGGGGTGTCTCGTTGGGGGTATCTCGTTGGGGTGTCTTTTGGGGTTCCTTATGTGCTGTTCTACTGGGGTGTTCTTGAGGCTGCGTTTTCCGTTTTTCTTTCATTTAAAACTGAAAAAAAAAAGATTTTATGAAAAAAAAAAAAAAAATAGATTCCATCCTCCTCATGTCCTCTCCTCTCCCACCATCACCACCACCATCTCTCCCTTTCCTCGCCGCCACCTCCATTTCTCTCACCTCCATTTCGCCTACAGCTCATCATTTTCTTACAGCATAGCATTCTTTTGCACCATCATCGCCTCTCCCACACCTTGGGAAACTCGAGCACGGCACTTGCGTGTTGTAAGAGGCGCAAGCTTCACGTCTGCCTCGCCTGCCTTACGCGTCTGCAGCATTGTGTGCCTTATGAACGGGCTCCGAGCAAGAATCGACCTTTCTTGAAAAACTCATTGCTAGAAGAGTAAGTTATACGTCAAGCTAAATCCATCAACGAAACGTCGTCGCTCCTCGCTCGTTGCTCTTCGCTCCTCGCCCCTCGCTCTTCGCTCTTTGCTCTTCACTCTTTCCTCTTCGCTCCCGCTCTCCGCTCTCCGCGTCATGGACGCCGCAGCTTCGTCCGACTGTTACGGTTACCACACCAGGTCATCCCCTTCCAGTCCGTCTCATCACGACCTTCGTTACAGTCACATGGCTGTTGATGCGCGCCAAGCCATCTACAGGTACCCCCAGGGAAAAGAAAGGTTTCATCCAGAGCAACCCCATTGTCAAGAATCAAAGTCTCCTTGTTCGTCTTATAACGCGTATCAGCAGATGCGTCCACCTGAACCTGGGAGACTTGATGTCGAATCGCAGGAGGAGCAGTCTGCATGGGGGAGTCAATCGCGAATACATACGATATTATCTCCTAAATATACCTCCCGGCCACCCGATAGAACGCCTCCTAGGTATTGCGATCAAGTGTACTCGTCGACCCAATCACTATCATGCACGTCGTCGGGTATTCCGCAATTTGCGGCTTGCTCCGATACGACCGCGAGTTCGTACTCTCCTGTGACTCCGTCCGCTACGTCGCCTGATATTTATCCTCATCGCGACTCGTCACAAGCATCATCGCACCGTCCATCGCGGCGATCCGAAGATTGGAGATCATCCGACGGTCGACCGCTGTCCGGTTCGCTGCCGATCCCGCCTCCCGCGCTTTCGTCCGACGGCTTCGCAATTTCCCCGCAGCGGCGTCTTGCGGATTCAATACCCGCGACGTTTGAGTCGTCGCACCAGTCACCCGGAGCGTATTACACCGATGGCTACGGACGGCCCAAAACGGGTTCCGAAGCGTTCGGCTACGGAGGGCCCAAAACAGGTTGCGAAGCGTTCGGCAACGACGGAGGGCCTCGGATGGATGCTTCCGAGAGTTTCATGAGTCCCTCCCGCCGACACGACGACCTGGAGGACTCGTCACCCGCGGCGTATTATACCGATGGCTACGGACGGCCCAGAACGGGTCCCGAAGCGATCGGCAACGACGGAGGACCTCGAATAGAATGTTCCAGGGGCTTTATGAGTCCCTCCCGCCGACATGATGACCTTGCGGGCCCGTCTCCCCCGGCGTGTTTTAGTGGCGCCGCGGTTTGGACGGCGTCCGGAACGGACGGTGCAGCGTGGTCCGGCGGGTTGAGATCGGACGGCGGGGCATGCTCGAGCGGATTCGGATCGGACGGCGCAGCATGGTCCTCCCATCCGCCGACAATGGTGCTCGAGAGGACTTCGACTGAGCCGCTGCTGTGCTCCTCAAACTGGCGCGAAATCGGCGTGCGGAACGGTGATTATATTGGAGGAAGCACCGGCGGGCCGCACGGCGTGCGACCGCATTGTGACAATAACGAAGGGAGAGGAGCTGGTGTAGGCCGCGGCGCCGGAGGTGGTGCTATGGTGACGTCGCTAACCCGCAGCGCCAGTAGCTGTCGGACGGCGGACTATTCAGTTCACTGGACCGGCAATGGCGGCGAGGGCGGCTTTGGCGGCGGTAATGGCGGCGGTAGTGGCGGAGGTGGTGCTATGATGGCGTCGATAACCCGCAGCGTCAGTAGCACTGGGACAGCGGACTATTCAATTCACTGGGCCGGCAATGGCGGTGGCAGCGGCTTCCACGGCGGCTTTCATGGCGGCTTTCGCGGCGGCTTTGGCGGCGGTAATGGCGGCGGTAATGCCGGCGGTAATGCCGGCGGCGGTGGTGGCGGCGGCGTATCTAATGGCGTGTGGCGCGTCAACAGCTGCGGTGGTGAAGGTTACGGCCGCGGGTTTGGTGGCGGGAGCGGCAGCGGCGGGGGGGGTGTTCATTGGAGCCGCGGGGAATCATATCCGCCGCCCTGTGTCGATCCGAGTATGGGTTATGCATTTCGGGAGCGCGCAGCAGGCTCAAACATGGGGGTGGCCGCGGCTGCTTCAGATTCTGCTGCGACCAGTCGCCCGGAGAACCAGCCGCTGAGGTTGAACAGCTTGCCTCGAGCAGAGTCGCATATGATGGCGGTTACCACGGCTGCTGCAGATTCCGGTGCGACTAGCCGCCCGGAGAACCAGCCGCTGAGGTTGAACAGCTTGCCTCGAGCACGTGGGGTGCGCTTGCCCCGTGACGAGACGGGCCGTGCTGGTTATAACGAGTCAGCTTGTAACGAGGTGACCTTCACGAAGAGCAGCGAGGAATGGACGGGGGTCGAGCATGGAAGGCGGGAAATACGCGACTGTGGACAAGGCAGGGAGTACGCTTTAAGAGTTTCGGGAGCGGGAGGGAATGCAGGGCGGGAATTCCCCATGAACGAAAGGGATGCGGCGAACAGGGGGGTGAATGTGACGGAGGAATGGGGAGCAACGGGCCGGGGGGATGAGGAAGGGAGGGGGGTGAATAGCTTACCGGCGCGGTTGGGAAGTATGGAAAGGAGGGATGAGGAGGGGAGGGGGGTGAATAGTTTGCCGGCGGAGTGGGGAGCAATGGAACAGCGGTGGGATGCGGTGGGAGGGGCGGGAAGGGTGGGAGGATTGCCGGTGCGAATCACTCGCAGCCAAACGGAGGAGAGGAGGGGTGCCTCTGGGAATGGGAACGGGTACTCGTTTAGCTTGTGGCAGGAAGGGCAGGAGAAAGCGGGGAAGAAAATGGAGCGAGGGCAGGAGGAGAAGGAGGAGGGGACTGGGGAGGGAAATTTGAGTCGACCCAAAGGCCTGGGTACGTCTGGGAATGGGAATGGGTACTCATTCAGTCTTTGGCAGGAAGGGCAGAAGACGAAGGGGGAGGAGCAGGAGGACGGGATGAAGAGAAATGAGGGGATTTTGAGTCGACCCAAAGGTCTGGGCACGTCTGGGAATGTGAATGAGGAAGGGACTCTGGTTCGGGTCAAAGGTCCGGATGCGTCCGGAAATGGGTACTCGTTCAGTCTGTGGCAAGAAGGGCAGAAGAAAGTGGGGCGGGCACGGGAGGGAGTGTTGGAGGAGAAGGAAGGGGAGGGACAGGATGAGAAGCGGGAGGGAGAAGGGGGAGAGGGGAGCGAGAGGCGCGCGGAGGAGAAACAGCAGCAGCAGCAGCAGCAGCAACAGCAGCAGCAGCCAGAGATCTTACCAAACCGTCCTCCACCCATCCGTTCCTCACCCAGGATTCAACCTCTGGAAATCCCCTCCTCCTTTCCAGAAGGCCCCCAGGCTACTTTGGAGGCGCCTCAAAAGCAGCAGCCAGAGAACTTACCAGCCCGTCCACCCATCCGTTTCTCTCCCAGGATTCAACCTCTGGATATCCCCTCCTCCTCTCCAGATCCACCCCAGTCTCGAAACAACCCGCTGCTGCGTTCCCCAGGGTCTGCACCCCGTGTGACGCTTGACCTTTCCCAAAGCTCATCTCCTTCCCTGCTTCGCTCTCCTGGTTCAATGCCCCGCTTGACCCTCGACGGCGACGTGAGCCAAGGGTCAAACCCTCCTCCGCTTCCCGGTTCAGTGCCCCGCCTAAACCTCGACGGTGACGTGGGCCAAGGGTCGAATCCTCCTCCGCTTGTGCGTTCTCCCGGCCCATTGCCAAGCTTGGCGCCTCGAAATGGGTTTGAGAATCCTGTTATGCCTTCTCTTAAGGTTGCGACTTTTGAGGCGCCTCAAAATGGGGTGCCAACTTTTGGGGTGCTTCAAAACGGGGTGAAGAATCCTGTTATGCCTTCACTTAAGGGTGCGGCTGAGCATTTGGAAGCTGGCCGAGGGGGAGAGGGGGGCGCGCAAGGGAGGGTAGGGGAGGCGCAGAGGGGGGAGGGGGATGCACAGAGCAGGCCGTTGAACTACTCCGACCACTTTAAGCAACTCAGGAGGAAGGGGCTTGCTCAGAAGCAGCTGCGCGAGCAAACCAAGCTCAGAAGCAACTTGGGAACCAACCTAGTCGACCGCTCGGAAACAGGGGGAGATTCAGGTTCGGGTCCAGGCTCGGAAATCAGGAGGGACGGAGAAAGGATGCAGGGGGGGCAGGGAGCAGAGATTGAGTTGGGTGCAGAGCGGAGGAACTTGGGAGCAGCGGAGAAGCAGAGCCAGGGGGTGCGGAACACACAACCAGGAGCAGCACTACGACTGGGGCTGGGGCTGGTGTCAGGGCGGGCGGGGCAGGGGGAAAAGGCGGGGGGGCAGGGGGAGCAGGAGGGGCAGGAGGGGCAGGGAGCAGAGGTGAGCGCGGAAGGACAGGAGGAGTTTGATTTCCAGAGCTCACTGGACGATGGCTGTTTCAGTGCCACGTTCAGTGGGGTTAGCAACAGTAGCGGCAGCAGTGGCAGCAACGGCAACAGTAGCGGCAGCAACGGCAACAGTATTGGCAGCAACGGCAACAGCAGTGGCAGCAACAGCAGCAGCAATGGCAGCAGTACCCACAGCAGTGGTATCAGCAGCAGCTGCAGCAGCAGTCAAACTACTCCTGCAGTTCTACCTTCCCCGGATGTTTCTCCCTCTGGAGCAGGAGGAACAGGGCGTATCCCCAGAGCGAATGCCTACTTATCAGGTAAAACCCCTCAGCCAGGTAACGCCTCCCCCAGATGCAGCCCAGCAGCTAACGCCTCCCTCAGACGCAGCCCAGCAGGTACCGCCTCCCCCAGGCGCAGCCCAGCAGCACCAGGGCTGTTTTCCTGGGACTGTACGGGTTTTGATAGTGGTGCTGGTGCTGGTGGTGGTGTTGCTGGTGCTGCTGGTGGTGCTGCTGCTGGTGGTGCTGCTGCTGGTGGTGCTGCTGCTGGTGGTTCTGGTGGTGCTGCTGATGATGGTGATGATGCATCAACCTGCACTGAACACGCCCTACGAGCGAATGAGATCTCTCTTTGCTTGGGGATTGCCTCCAAAGCAGCAAAGGAGGAAAGAGGGAAAGATAAGGTCAGGTGTTCTCCCAGGTATTCGCCCAATGCTTTGCCAAAAGGCAGTAGCATGTCGTTTAACCTGTGGACACCTGAGAAAGCCCCTGATGGGGCTCCAGGCTCATCAGGGCTTGACTCTGCCGCTGCTGGTGCTGCTGCTGGTTGTGGTGGTTGTGCTGCTGCTGCTGCTGCTGCTGCTGCTGATGTTGGTGGTGCTCCTGCTGCTGCTGCTGCCACTGCTGCTGATGTTGGTGGTGCTCCTGCTGCTGCTGCTGCCACTGCTGCTGATGTTGATGGTGCTGCTGCTGCCACTGCTGGTGCTGCTGCAGAAGCAGCAATGGTTGGACCAGCAACAGCTGGAGCAGCAGCAGCAGCACAGCCACCGCTAATGCATGCCATATCAGGGCGAGACGTTGATGCTAAGCTGAGGGATCTGGCTAGAGTGGCGTCAGCTGCAGCACCAGTAGCTGGAACCGCAGCAGCACCAGCAGTACCAGCAGCACCAGCAGTACCAGCAGCACCAGCAGCAGCAGCTCAGCCACTGCTAGTGTGTGCCACATCAGGGCAAGACCTACATTCAAAGCTGAGAGATCTTGCTAGAGTGGCGTCAGCTGCTTCACCAGCAGCACCAGCAGCACCAGCAGCTGGAACCGCAGCAGCACCAGGAATGCTTGCAGCAGCAGCACCACCAACAGTGCCGATAGCAGCGGTACAGCCACCGCTTTTGCGGGCCACATCAGGGCGAGACGTTGATGCCAAGCTGAGAGATCTGGCTAGAGTGGCGACAGCTGCAGCAACAGCAGCTGGATCAGCAGCAACACCTGCACTACCAGCAGCAGCAGCAGCAGCTGCTGCTTCTGCAGCTGTCGCAGCAGTGGTAGCAGGAACAGCAGGCATGGAACGACCAGCAACACCAGAAGCGGGAGAGGTACAGGCACCGCTATTGCGGGTGGCATCAGGGCGAGACGTTGATGCCAAGCTGAGGGATCTGGCTAGAGTGGCGACAGCAGCAGCACAAGCAGGACCGGCATCAGCAACAGTTTCAGGAACAGCAGTAACACACACAGCGACAGCAGCACAAGCAACAGCAGCAGCACATGAACCGTTAGCAAGGGCTTTAATGGGAAGGGATTTGGATTCGAGACTGCAGGATCTAGCCCGAGCGGCATCAGCTGCAACAGCAACAGCCAGTGGAGCAAGGCCCGTGGCACTGGCACGCGCACAGACAGCAAGAACAGGATCAGCATCACCATATGCGGCATTGGCACGCGCACAGACAGCAACTGCAGGCTCTGTTGCTTCCGCGTCAGCATCACCATCATTAGCAGCAGCGGCAGCAGCAGCAGCAGCAGAGGAGAACCAAGCGAGCAGCAGTTTGGCCGGTAGCAGTGCCATCGCCCCGAGGGCCAGGGGGAGCAGGGAGAGTGTGGAGGTCACGAGAACATGCTCTGAGCCAGTAGTGCTTGGGGGCGTTGAGCGTGTGTCAAATGCTGATACGTCGACTTCGGATCTCTCGGTTTGCAGCAATGACAGCTCCCACCACCAGCAGACCCATCAGCAGCAGCACCATTACCAGCAGCATCACCAGCAACAGCACCAGCACGCTTGGCACCAGGTTAACGGAAGCCACCTTGGGCAGAATCAGAGGCACGAGATTAGCTTTGAGCCGACTCGAAATGAGTCCGAGCGCGATCAGGGGGACGGGTTGAGGGACCTATCCAGGTCGTATGGAGGAGAGAGTGAGTTCTCTAGGGAGTGGAATTCGGTGAATGCCGATCGTTTGAGTCACGTTCCCCGTAGTCACAGCCGTAGACCAGGAGGTGGGGAAGGAGGAGGAGGAGGAGGAGGAGGAGGAGGAGGAGGAGGAGGAGGAGGAGGAGGAGGAGGAGGAGGAGGAGGAGGAGAGGGAGGGGGAGGAGGGGGGGAGAGAGGAGGGGGAGGAGGGGGAGAGGGAGGGGGAGGAGGGGGAGGAGGGAGGAGCATGTTGAGGCAACTGGCTGGGGTGTTTAGGTTCAGGAGGGCGGAGAGCAGGAGTGTGCGGCTGGGAGTGAGGGAGACCCAGTCCCATGATGCTTCCTGGACGAGACGCAAACAAGCATTCCCATGACTGCTGAGTTGAGACGTCTGGAAGCTGCTTTGGGGGGTTTGGAAACGCAGCTGGAGTAGCCAGCAGGAGTGAGTGTGTGTGGCTGGCCGTTTGTTAAGACACGATTGCATGATGCTTCCTGGACCAGACGCAAACCCGCATTCCCCTGATTGCTGAGTTGAGTGAGGTCTCGTAGCTGCTGTTGGGCGGTAGAATTGAAAGAGCAGCTGGGTTTACTGTACCGGTACGAAGTATCCAGCAGGAGTGTGGGGCTGGCCGTGAGGGAGTCCTGCTGAGACGGGATAACAAAAGATGGATTATCATGCTGCTAGTTGCATACTGTAGTGTTTTTGTTGCCTAGCAGACAACCTTTTTCCAGCAGTGTATTGTACAATAACTGTAAGAATCAACATGTTCTAGGAAGCAATAGTACCACATCCACTGCGACAATTGTTGTGCAAATGCAGCTGCCCACATGGAAGTACCATTCAACCCACCACATCATCTCTTGGTATCAACTTTTGGTATCAAAACACTAATAACACTAAGTACATAGACACATGCACAGAAGGAGCCAATCAATACAAATGGATATGAAATTCGACAAGTGTCAGATTTTGACAGAATACCAATAGGCATGCATTGTATTGTATGGCTGGAGTGACTAATCCCAGAGGCTGCACTGTCCGTTCTCCAGTGCACTACAGTTTCTGAAACCAAACACAATACGGGCCGATGCAACCAAAAAAGAACGAAGATGCAATTACTAAACATCAAGATGCACTCCCAAAAGCTGCATTTCCTCTTCTCCAGAGCAGTTCCTGAAACCAAACACAATACGGCGAGATGGGAGAGCATCAAGTATGCAACCTTTTTGCCTGTGAGTGAGTGCATGGGATGTGCAAGCCCCGCACCAGACCCAACAAACCACACCAGACCCACCAAACCACACCAGACCCAACAAACCACACCAGACCCAACAAACCACACCAGACCCAACAAACCACACCAGACCCACCAAACCACACCAGACCCAACAAACCACACCAGACCCAACAAACCACACCAGACCCAACAAACCACACCAGACCCAACAAACCACACCAGACCCAACAAACCACACCAGACCCAACAAACCACACCAGACCCAACAAACCACACCAGACTCACCAACCCACAACCAGTGACCATACTTATCAACCAGTAGCACGGACTCCCACCTGATGCATGGGACCTGGTAAACCACACCCCAAGGTGTCGTTTCATGTACGGGGTGTCGTTTCATGTATGGGGTGTCGTTTCATGTATGGGGTGTCGTTTCAAGTATTGGATGTCGTTTCATGTATGGGGTGTCGTTTCATGTATGACACGTCAGACGTCATTCCATGCATGACTGACACCCCTGACAGTCCCCTTTTGCCCCCTATTGTCTCGTCCTTATCACTATCACATATATTCCTTTCATGGTTCTCCCACTTCCACAATCACATTACACGCTCCGCACTCTCCACCCTTCCTCTTGTCCTCGTCTTGCTTCTCCCTCACCCCACCTGCACTCATCTCCTATCTCTCTACTCTTAACTCGACCTAAAAGTTTCCAGCTAACCCCCCGGTACCTCCACTGCCCCATACCCACTCTCATCCCCCCTTCCCCCCCCCCCCCTACCACCTCCTCCTCTACCCCCCTGTTCCTCTCTCCCTCTCTACCTCTCCTCATAACGGCGTCCCTAAGTAGGCTCTTAAGTTTCTACGTATCCCATCTGTACCTAACCCATTGCTCACCGTATCGCAACATGGTCTCGTTACAAGGTCGTCCCGTTACAAGATCAGCTCTGCTCCGCGGTTTCGCTGTAGAGCTTGTGAATCCGCGTGTCTTTACCCCACCCGACGTTCTTAATCGACGACAGGTATTTTTGCACCAGCTCGCTACAATTCTTAATATGATTCACCCCCTCCGTGCGGTAACACTGCTTCAACTGTTCGCGAAGCAGCTTCGCACGCTCGATCGCGACCATCTTTTCGCGAACCAGCCATTCGCGATGCTCGAGCATCGCCACCGGATCCGCGTACGGGTTCTTCGGGTCGAAATCGTCCGGCGGCGTTACATCGAACGTCGGCTTCCCCTTAAACACCATCGTCGCGGAAAGCCGGCGCGACACGCGAAATGGAGAACAGCAGCGGCGGAAGCGGCGGGAAGCGCGGCGGAGTGAGCGCGGGGCGGAAGGAATGAAAATGGCGGGAAGCGACTGAAGTATGCGCGCGCCCTAGCAAAACTAGAGAAAAACTGGTTCCATATTGCAAAACTGCAACGTACGATTTTGTTTTCGGGTTTTGGGTGTACACATGAGGATTTTTTGTACGAACCAAATGTTGTATAGTGCTAGAAAATGTAGCTCCAGAAAATGGTCTCGTGCTTAATCCTCGTGTTCCCTCTCCGTTCCCCTCTCCCCTCCCCTCCCCCATCCCCTTCCCCCCAGGTACGCGCGGTTCACTGTGCGCACGTCTCGCGGAGTGATAGAGTCGGTGGTCCGCACGTCCCCCATCACTTCCCTTCCCCCCTCCTCCCCTCTTCCTCCCCCTTTTCTCTCCATAACCCCCTTTCCCCCTCCCCCATTCCCCCAGGTACGCGCGCTTCACGGTGCGCATGTTTCAGGGAGTGATCGAGTCGGTGGTCCGCACATCCCCCATCACTTCCCTTCCCCCCTCCTCCCCTCTTCCTCCCCCTTTTCTCTCCATAACCCCCTTTCCCCCTCCCCCATTCCCCCAGGTACGCGCGCTTCACGGTGCGCATGTTTCAGGGAGTGATCGAGTCGGTGGTCCGCACATCCCCCATCACTTCCCTTCCCCCCTCCTCCCCTCTTCCTCCCCCTTTTCTCTCCATAACCCCCTTTCCCCCTCCCCCATTCCCCCAGGTACGCGCGCTTCACGGTGCGCATGTTTCAGGGAGTGATCGAGTCGGTGGTCCGCACGTCCCCCATCACACCCCACGCCGTCACCAACGCAGCTGATAGTGATGGTGGTTCTGATGCTAGTGCTGCTGATGGTGCTGCTGGTGGTGATAGTGATGCAGCAGCAGCGAGTGGCAGGGCTGTACACGTTATAGACGGAACCGATAAGATGGTACGTCCTTCCATGCTACGTCTATGATGCAGCTTGTTCAAATGTAGGCGTGAAAATTAGATCACATGTGGCAAGGAGAGAGGGGATGTGTCTATGGACAATGCACATGATAGGGAACACTGTGAAAATGAGACTACGTTGCCTCGGTTTGTCCCCCCTCCCACGCCCTCTCTTTATGACTCAGCTACTACCGGGGATGGTCAACGCACACACGCACAGCATAGAGGCGTGGGGCAGAGGAGGAATCGTGCCTCTGGTGAGATGTAACGCCTGCTGGTGAGATGTAACAAGTTCGGTGAAATGTCACTCCTTTTGGTGAGATGAAACGCCTTTTTGAGGTTCAAGGCGCCCCACCCTACAATCAGATTAAAGAAAAGTTTTGTTTCACAGCAAGTTGAAACGCCTTCTGTTGAGATGAATGCAAGCTGTCACAAAATATTCATCACACTTAAATTACATGTTTGTTGTTCCTTCGCTCTTGTTTCATTCTTTGCTGTTTATTGATATACGATGGCCCTGCTGCTCCCTCTTACCCTCCGTTCCAGCCCCTGGAGCTGTGGGTAAATTCCCTTTTTACCCATATGGACCCCCGAGGACCCAACCCCTCGGTTTCACCTGATGTGGTGAGAGGGGAGGGAAGGGGTGCGTTGAGAGGAAGGGGGGGGGTGAGACGAGAGGGGAGGGGAAGGTTTGAGGTGGGTGGAAGGGGCGGAAGGGTGTGGTGTGGTGTGGTGTGGTGTGGTGTGGTGTGGTGAGGGTGGACGCTCCATCCTCTCCCATGAACCCACGCATTCTGAGGTGCCTTTAGAAGCACTTTCCCTCCTGGGGTTATTCAGCACACTCATGTGATGTCACCCAATCTGTCGTACCACACCACACCCCATCGCACCCCACCATGCCACATCCCACCGCACTTCACCGCACTAGGTGTATTGGGCAGCCCTACGCACGGCAGTAGAGACAATCATGACTGGAGGCACGAGAGGACTCAGCCTTTTGTCCACTGTACACTCCACCATACCCCACCGCACCCCAACCCTCCCCTGCACGCTGCAACCCACCGCACTTCACCGCACACCACCCCACCAGGTGTATTGGGCAGCCCTTCACACGGCAGTAGAGACTATTATGACTGGCGGCACAGCTGTTATGGATCACCTGTGAGTATGCCTCCTTTTCGCTCTCCACCCATCTGGTGCTCACTATGCCTCACCATGCCTCACCATGCCTCTCCATGCCTCTCCATGCCTCTCCATGCCTCTCCATGCCTCTGCACCGCACAGCAATCTAGATTCCATTCACCACTCCCAGTATTTTGTTAACAACCCCCTGTGAATAGCCCCCTGTTAACAGCCCCCTGATAATAGCCCCATGTTAAACCCCCTGTTAACATCCCCCTGTTAACATCCCCCTGTTAACAGCCCCCTGTGAGCATCCACACCCTGCGAATTCACACCCTGCGAATTCACACCCTGCGAGTCCACACCCTGCGAATCCACACCCTGCGAATCCACACCCTGCGAATCCACACCCTGCGAATTCACACCCTGCGAATTCACACCCTGCGAATTCACACCCTACGAATTCACAGCCTGCGAATTCACACCCTGTGAATTCACACCCTGCGAATTCACAGCCTGCGAATTCACAGCCTGCGAATTCACACCCTGCGAATTCACACCCTGCGAATTCACACCCTGCGAATCCACACCCTGCGAATTCACACCCTGCGAATCCACACCCTGCGAATTCACACCCTGCGAATTCACACCCTGCGAATCCACACCCTGCGAATTCACACCCTGCGAATTCACACCCTGCGAATTCACACCCTGCGAATTCACACCCTGCGAATTCACACCCTGCGAATTCACAACCTGCGAATTCACAACCTGCGTATTCACACCTTGCGAATTCACACCCTGCGAATTCACACCCTGCGAATTCACACCCTGCGAATTCACACCCTGCGAATTCACACCCTGCGAATTCACACCCTGCGAATCCACACCCTGCGAATTCACACCCTGCGAATCCACACCCTGCGAATCCACACCCTGCGAATTCACACCCTGCGAATTCACACCCTGCGAATCCACACCCTGCGAATTCACACCCTGCGAATTCACACCCTGCGAATTCACAACCTGCAAAACTCACACCCTGCGAATTCACACCCTGCGAATCCACACCCTGCGAATTCACACCCTGCGAATCCACACCCTGCGAATCCACACCCTGCGAATTCACACCCTGCGAATTCACACCCTGCGAATTCACACCCTGCGAATTCACACCCTGCGAATTCACACCCTGCGAATTCACACCCTGCGAATTCACACCCTGCGAATTCACACCCTGCTAATTCACACCCTGCGAATTCACACCCTGCGAGTCCACACCCTGCGAGTCCACACCCTGCGAGTCCACACCCTGCGAATTCACACCCTGCGAATTCACACCCTGCGAATTCACACCCTGCGAATTCACACCCTGCGAATTCACAACCTGCAAAACTCACACCCTGCGAATCCACACCCTGCGAATCCACACCCTGCGAATTCACACCCTGCGAATCCACACCCTGCGAATCCACACCCTGCGAATTCACACCCTGCGAATTCACACCCTGCGAATTCACACCCTGCGAATTCACACCCTGCGAATTCACACCCTGCGAATTCACACCCTGCGAATTCACACCCTGCGAATTCACACCCTGCGAATTCACACCCTGCGAATTCACACCCTGCGAATTCACACCCTGCGAATTCACACCCTGCGAATTCACACCCTGCGAATTCACACCCTGCTAATTCACACCCTGCGAATTCACACCCTGCGAATTCACAGCCTGCGAATTCACACCCTGCGAATTCGCACCCTGCGAATTCACAGCCTGCGAATTCACACCCTGCGAATTCACACCCTGCGAATTCACACCCTGCGAATCCACACCCTGCGAATTCACACCCTGCGAATCCACACCCTGCGAATTCACACCCTGCGAATTCACACCCTGCGAATCCACACCCTGCGAATTCACACCCTGCGAATTCACACCCTGCGAATTCACACCCTGCGAATTCACACCCTGCGAATTCACACCCTGCGAATTCACAACCTGCGAATTCACAACCTGCGTATTCACACCTTGCGAATTCACACCCTGCGAATTCACACCCTGCGAATTCACACCCTGCGAATTCACACCCTGCGAATTCACACCCTGCGAATTCACACCCTGCGAATCCACACCCTGCGAATTCACACCCTGCGAATCCACACCCTGCGAATCCACACCCTGCGAATTCACACCCTGCGAATTCACACCCTGCGAATTCACACCCTGCGAATTCACACCCTGCGAATTCACACCCTGCGAATTCACAACCTGCAAAACTCACACCCTGCGAATTCACACCCTGCGAATCCACACCCTGCGAATTCACACCCTGCGAATCCACACCCTGCGAATCCACACCCTGCGAATTCACACCCTGCGAATTCACACCCTGCGAATTCACACCCTGCGAATTCACACCCTGCGAATTCACACCCTGCGAATTCACACCCTGCGAATTCACACCCTGCGAATTCACACCTTGCGAATTCACACCCTGCGAATTCACACCCTGCGAATTCACACCCTGCGAATTCACACCCTGCGAATTCACACCCTGCGAATTCACACCCTGCGAATCCACACCCTGCGAATTCACACCCTGCGAATCCACACCCTGCGAATCCACACCCTGCGAATTCACACCCTGCGAATTCACACCCTGCGAATTCACACCCTGCGAATTCACACCCTGCGAATTCACAACCTGCAAAACTCACACCCTGCGAATTCACACCCTGCGAATCCACACCCTGCGAATTCACACCCTGCGAATCCACACCCTGCGAATCCACACCCTGCGAATTCACACCCTGCGAATTCACACCCTGCGAATTCACACCCTGCGAATTCACACCCTGCGAATTCACACCCTGCGAATTCACACCCTGCGAATTCACACCCTGCGAATTCACACCCTGCGAATTCACACCCTGCGAATTCACACCCTGCGAATTCACACCCTGCGAATTCACACCCTGCTAATTCACACCCTGCGAATTCACACCCTGCGAGTCCACACCCTGCGAGTCCACACCCTGCGAGTCCACACCCTGCGAGTCCACACCCTGCGAGTTCACACCCTGCGAATCCACACCCTGCGAATTCACACCCTGCGAATTCACACCCTGCGAATTCACACCCTGCGAATTCACACCCAGCGAATTCACACCCTGCGAATTCACACCCTGCGAATTCACACCCTGCGAATTCACACCCTGCGAATTCACACCCTGCGAATTCACACCCTGCGAATTCACACCCTGCTAATTCACACCCTGCGAATTCACACCCTGCGAGTCCACACCCTGCGAGTCCACACCCTGCGAGTCCACACCCTGCGAGTCCACACCCTGCGAGTCCACACCCTGCGAGTTCACACCCTGCGAATCCACACCCTGCGAATTCACACCCTGCGAATCCACACCCTGCGAATGCACACCCTGCGAATCCACACAATGCGAATTCACACCCTGCGAATTCACACCCTGCGAATTCACACCCTGCGAATTCATACCCTGCGAATTCACACCCTGCGAATTCACACCCTGCGAATTCACACCCTGCGAATTCACACCCTGCGAATTCACACCCTGCGAATTCACACCCTGCGAATTCACACCCTGCCAATCCACAACCTGCAAATCCACAACCTGCGAATTCACACCCTGCGAATCCACACCCTGCGAATCCACACCCTGCGAATTCACACCCTGCGAATTCACACCCTGCGAATTCACACCCTGCGAATTCACACCCTGCGAACCCACACCCTGCGAATTCACACCCTGCGAATTTACACCCTGCGAATTCACACCCAGCGAGTCCACACCCTGCGAGTCCACACCCTGCGAGTCCACACCCTGCGAGTCCACACCCTGCGACTCCACACCCTGCGAATCCACACCCTGCGAATTCACACCCTGCGAATTCACACCCTGCGAATTCACACCCTGCGAATTCACACCCTGCGAATTCACACCCTGCGAATTCACACCCTGCGAATTCACACCCTGCGAATTCACACCCTGCGAATCCACACCCTGCCAATTCACACCCTGCGAATTCACACCCTGCGTATTCACACCCTGCGAATTCACACCCTGCGAATTCACACCCTGCGAATTCACACCCTGCGAATTCACACCCTGCGAATTCACACCCTGCGTATTCACACCCTGCGAGTCCACACCCTGCGAATTCACAACCTGCGAATTCACACCCTGCGAATTCACACCCTGCGAATTCACACCCTGCGAATTCACACCCTGCGAATTCACACCCTGCGAATTCACACCCAGCGAGTCCACACCCTGCGAGTCCACACCCTGCGAGTCCACACCCTGCGAATCCACACCCTGCGAGTCCACACCCTGCGAATCCACACTCTGCAAATCCACACTCTGCGAATCCACACCCTTCGAATTCACAGCCTGCAAATTTACCGCCTGCGAATTCACAGCCTGCGAATTCACACCCTGCGAATTCACACCCTGCGAATTCACACCCTGCGAATTCACACCCTGCGAATTCACACCCTGCGAATTCACACCCTGCGAATCCACACCCTGCGAATTCACACCCTGCGAATTCACAACCTGCGAATTCACAACCTGCGTATTCACACCCTGCGAATTCACACCCTGCGAATTCACACCCTGCGAATTCACACCCTGCGAATTCACACCCAGCGAGTCCACACCCTGCGAGTCCACACCCTGCAAGT